ACATGCCGCGGAGCAGCTATGCCCGTGTGGCACAACTACTGAAGCCTGCGCACCTCAGAGCCCACGCGCCACAACTACTGAGCCTGCACTCTAGGGCCTGCGTGCCGCAACTACTGAGCCCACGTTCTGCAGCTACTGAAGCCCTGAAGCACTCCTAGAGCCCGTGCTCTGCAACGAGAAGCCCGCGCACCGCAACAAAGAGTAGCCCCCGCTCGCCGCAACTAGAGAAAGCCTGCGCGCAGCAACGAAGACCCAACGCAGCCAAAAAAAAATTTAAAAAGTGGAATTTGAACAGCAGCCCACAAGTGGTGTGTGAGGAGAGGGAGATGGGGGTGGAACACCAGCGGAAGCCTGACTGAGAGGCCCCTAGGGCTTGGGGAGGATTTACTCTAAGGGAGCAGCTTAGGGAGCAGGCCTGGAGGCCCCCTTCCCTGCCTACCCGGAGAAACCATGTGACCTACACGTGAGCCCCAATCAACCATGTGACCCACGGCTGCCCCAGCCGTCGATTCCTTACTCAGCACAGAGAGTATGGTCCGGTCTTGTTATGTTTTCTTTTTTCCTTTCAAAAACAATTTTATTTATCTGATTGCAAAGTATTAATCTTAGTAATAAAAATAAAGTCAGTACAATAAACACATATTAAAGTCACTCATAGTTCCTACCACCTAGAGAAAAATCACGAGTAAAATTTTGATTTGTATCTTCCAGAATGATTCTCTGTAAACACACACACAAGGTTTTATCTTTTTAACAGAAATGGAATTGTACAGTGTATACAGTTTTAACTTAATATATTGTAGGTACCTTTCCGTGTCAGTAAATACCATTTTAATGGCTACACCAAATTCCGTTTCATAGACTGTACCTTTTTTAACCGTGCCCCAGTGGTCGGCATCTAGGCTATTTCAGTATTTCACTCTGTAAACAGTACGATGAGTATAATCCTGGAATATACATTTTGTACACTTGACCAATTTCTTTCTCTTGGTATAAGTCCTAAGAGAGAAGTTATTATGAAAAGGCATATGCACATTAAAATCTTGACCCCTGTTGCCAAATTGTCTTTTCAAAAGGTTGGACCAGTTAGACCCTCACCACCAGCACTGATAAGAACCGTTTCTCTACGCTCAGCAGTGCTGGCTGATTCTGCCAGTTTCCATCACTAGGGGCTGCTTTTGGAGGCGCCAGAAATGTTTTTCTCCTTTCCCCTCCCCACCCTGTCTCATCTGTGGTTGACCCTCTCATTCCGTAGCTCTGGAAATTGCAGCTCCCAGAAAACATTCTGTTCTAGCACAGCTGAACTGTACTGAAAGCCTCTCAAAATCCAGAACCGGGCTTGGATTTATTAACTTGTCAGTTGGTGTGGATCTGATAGAAAAATCTCATCATGGAAGGGAACAGCAAGACAATCTTTGAGGAGTAAATGGGGGGAGAAAGAAAAACTGTCTTATTAAAAAATATTACAAAAGTGTAAATGAATACTGACTACAGACCCCCAGGTAATCGACTACAAAAGTGTAAATGAGTACTGCTTACAGACCTCCAAATAAATGTCAAAGAACTAAAGATGTTTTACTATAAGAGACCTCCCATCCCACTCCCTAAGTGGAACTGTTTAATATCTTCAAAAAAGTGCCATGACCTGCACAGGACAGGAGCAGGTCACCACGGGGGGCAGCTGGATGGAATGGAAGACAGCAGCCGGAAGGGGGCACCTGGCAGGAGGGAAAGATTTGAAGAAGAGTAAAAATATAGTAGCAATTAAAGTCTGTACTGCATTTGCAAATATTTTCTCCCATTCTGAGGTTGTCTTCTTGTCTTGTTTATGGTTTCCTGTGCTGTGCAAAAGCTTTTAAGTTTCATTAGGTCCCACTTGTTTATTTTTGTTTTTATTTCCATTCCTCTAGGAGGTGAGTCAAAAAGGATCTTGCTGTGATTTATGTCATAGAGTGTTCTGCCTATGCTTTGCTCTAAGAGTTTTATCGTGTCTGGCCTTACATTTAGGTCTTTAATCCATTTTGAGTTTATTTTTGTGTATGGTGTTAGGAAGTTTTCCAATTTCATTCTTTTACATGTAGCTGTCCAGTTTTCCCAGCACCACTTATTGAAGAGGCTGTATTTTCTCCATTGTATATTCTCGCCTCCTTTATCAAAGATAAGGTGACCATGTGTGCGTGGGTTTATCTCTGGGCTTTCTATCCTGTTCCATTGATCTATATTTCTGTTTTTGTGCCAGTACCATACTGTCTTGATTACCATTGCTTTGTAGTATAGTCTGAAGTCAGGGAACCTGATTCCTCCAGCTCCGTTTTTCTTTCTCAAGATTGCTTTGGCTATCCGGGGTCTTTTGTGTTTCCATACAAATTGTGAAATTTTTTGTTCTAGTTCTGTGAAAAATGCCAGTGGTACTTTGATAGGGATTCCATTGAATCTGTAGATTGCTTTGGATAGTATAGTCATTTTCACAATGTTGATTCTTCCAATCCAAGAACATGGTATATCTCTCCGTTTGTATCATCTTTCTTTCATCAGTGTCTTATAGTTTTCTGCAAACAGGTCTTTTGTCTCCTTAGGTAGGTTTATCCCTGGGTATTTTATTCTTTTTGTTGCAGTGGTAAATGGGAGTATTTCCTTAATTTCTCTTTCGTATTTTTTGTCATTACTGTATAAGAATGCTAGAGATTTCTGTGCATTAATTTTGTATCCTGCTACTTTACCAAATTCATTGATTAGCTCTAGTAGTCTTCTGGTAGCATCTTTAGGATTCTCTATGTATAGTATCATGTCATCTGCAAACAGTAACGGTTTTATGTCTTTTCTGATTTGGATTTCTTTTATTTCTTTTTCTTCTCTGATTGCTGTGGCTGAAACTTCCAAAACTATGTTGAATAATAGTGGTGAGAGTGGACAACCTTGTCTTGCTCCTGATCTTAGAGGAAATGGTTTCAGTTTTTCACCATTGAGAACGATGTTGCCAGTGGGTTTGTCATATATGGCCTTTATTATGTTGAGGTAGGTTCCCTCCATGCCTACTTCCTGGCATATACCCTGAGAAAACCATAATTCAGAAAGAGCCATGTACCACAATGTTCATTGCAGCACTATTTACAATAGCCAGGACATGGAGGCAACCTAAATATCCATTGACAGATGAATGGATAAAGAAGATGTGGCACATATATACAATGGAATATTACTCAGCCATAAAAAGAAATGAAATTGAGTTATCTGTAGTGAGGTGGATGGACCTAGCGTCTGTCATACAGAGTGAAGTACGTCAGAAAGAGAAAAACAAACATCATATGCTAACACATATATATGGCATCTAAAAAAAAAAATTGGTTCTGAAGAACCTTAGGGCAGGACAGGAATAAAGACGCAGACATAGAGAATGGACTTGAGGATACGGGGAGGGGGAAGGGTAAGCTGGGACGAAGTGAGAGAGTGGCATGGACATATATACACTACCAACTGTAAAACAGATAGCTAGTGGGAAGCAGCTGCATAGCACAGGGAGATCAGCTCGGTGCTTTGTGACCACCTAGAAGGGTGGGATAGGGAGGGTGGGAGGGAGATGCAAGAGGGAGGGGATATGCAGATATATGTATACATACAGCTGATTCACTTTGTTGTACAGCAGAAACTAACACAACATTGTAAAGCAACTATACTCCAATAAAGATGTTAAAAAATAAAAAAATAAAGTCCGTACTGCAGACAGTAAAAACGTTGAATTGATGTTGTGGAAAGTGGAGCTCAGTCACGTGGGAGGGAAGCGAGATCCCTTCCTGAATAACAAGAAAAAAGGACAGAGAAGAAAATATGAAGGGCCGAGACAGAGGATCAGTGGGCTTTGACTGAAAAGGCTGTCTCCATGTGAAAAGGAACAGTAATCAAGTGCATCATCAGAGAAAACGTTCGGAGAGGAACAGGATCTGATACTGAGGCCAGAGAGGCCATCTGTCCCGCGCGTGTGTGGCAGGGCTGGGGAGGGGTCCCTGAAAAGGGACCTCTGCCAAAGCAGGAGATCTGTTGCAGGTTTGAATCTGTGTCCCTCGTGATGGATGCAGCCTGGATGCTTACTCTGGAGAACCCTCTCCCTCAGGCTTGGCTTGGCTTCCTCTCAGATGTAGCTGGGTGGATGTGGGAAAAAAGACCACAAGGAATCCCACCAGAACACACATGTGGTTACCTTTGAATAGGGGAGCTGTGAGTGGTATTTTTTTCCTTTTTATTTCCCTGGAATTTCCATGAGAGTAAACATTTTATTTGTTAGGTCAGTAGGCCTCTTCCTTCCCTTCCCTTCCCTTTTGCTACTTAATGCTTTATACACTTTGATGTTAAGCCAGGGCTGGCTCAGAGCAGAGGAGAAGGCTGTGCCTTGAGTTCAGCTGCTTTGCTCTTTTCACTCCTGGCTCACTCTGAGGGGGGGGGGCTTTCGGGGCTGATGAGCCAGGAGGTGGTGTCTGGATGCACATCAAAGCCTGGGGTTCCCAGGGGTGGCAGGTGAATCCATACCTCAGCCTGACTTTCTCAGCATCTTTCTTTTTTTAAGTCCCTGTGTTTTGCTCCTTTGAAAGAAATTCCACATATCTTTTTTTTATGGCTATAAAATCTAATTTTCAGCAACAAATCTGGATCTCTGCAGTCTTGATGGTTGTATCCTATCTTTTCTGTTAAAGATAATTAAATTTCTTGATAAGTCAATAGCAGATGGAAAAATTGTTGTTCTCCGTTGTTGCTAATGTATGAAGAATAATTAAAACTCATAAATAACCGTAAAATAATTTGCCTTCAATGATAACATCTTTAAGTGTGTAGCATCTTAACAATTTAAAAGCCTCGTTAGACATTCTCTTGGACACAGAGCCCATTTGCTGGGAAAGAGTTCTGAATAAATTTTACTTATCTTCCTTTTACAGTAAGACGTTATTACTCAGTGATAATATGCAGAGTAACTTCATGATGGTGATGTTGTTTTATCTTTGTAATTACAGACATATCAAGTGGATCTGAAGCCCAATGGGTCAGAAATAATGGTAACAAATGAAAACAAAAGGGAATACATTGAGTACGTACACACTTACTTACAGCCTTTTCTTTTATTAAATTGAACAGCATGTTCGGTTGCCGTCCTTTGCCAGAACAGTTCATGCGGATTATGGACACACTTTTAACAGTATGAGTTCCTTTCTGGCTTGGCCTAATAGGAAGCTGAATTATGGGATGCAAAGTTTGACTTGTGTCATGACTTCGTGTTGCTGCCATACAGAGGAGCAGTGGGAGGAGAGAAAGGGGCCACTGTTGAGTAACTTGGCAAATACTCTAGGAGCCTGTGGGCATCTCATCTAAAATTGAGAATTACAACAATGGAGCAGTGTCGACAGCCGGTTGGGGTAAAATTGGGAACAACCGAAGAGAACATATTCCATCTCTCTCCTGACCTCTTTTCCATAATGAAAATGTAGGAGAAGAGTTAAAATGGATATGGAGAATTCAGCACATGCAAACATGAAGAATTGTTCCTGCTGTTTGTAATTTTCTTAATCTCAGCGTCCTTTGGTGGGACAAAATGTTGAGTCCTTTGGAAATCTAGCTGTTGGGTAACCCTAGGGGTCTGTACTGGGCAGAAGGTACAGTTGGACAGCTTACATTTTCTTCTTTGGTGTATACATATGCCTCGAGCTCACCGTTCTGGTATCTTCCAAGGATTGCCAGGTTGCCCTTGCTAGCCCTCGGACAGGGACGAGGTCAGCGTTAACGGTGGTTGGCTCCCGGATCCTAGTTTCTGCTCATCTAGTGAGTTACAGCCATGCCCTGGGCTCCTTGTTTGCATTCAGAACTCCATTTCAACAAGCCGGGTTCCGTCCTCTCTCATCATAGTTGATCACAGGACTTGAATTCAGAGAATTGGCTGAGGATCTTAGCATCCTTCCTTAGCATCTGCCAAAAAAAAGAAAAAAACCTACTCTCCTCTCTAATCAGGAAGAATTGGAGAGTGCTGGCGTCTCTACTTAGAGACCCTGACAAAGCGTGGACTTCTCCACTTGCAAGTTGAAAGCTTGCTACACTTAATCAAAAACTAGAAGTAAGATACTACATTTCTTGCCTGTTCACCTCAACTGGCGCTTGTGCTGAGCTTGGACAGTCTCAGCAAGCAGACGACGTCCTGACGGGCACCGTTGTCTTCATTCAGAAAGTGTAGACTTCGAATAGATTTTTAACAACACCCCAGGGTGACTGGGTTTGAAAGACTGAGTATTTGCACCTTGTGATACATGTTGTACGTCGTTCTTTGCAGTTAATTCTTTTAGGTTTCAAATTGCGGGGCGCCTCCACTAGCTTCACTGCAAAAAGGAGGATAGAAATCCCCGGCTGCTCCCTGCCACCCGTATCCTCTGGTGCAAGTAGGCTGTCGGGCTGGTGATTGCAGCACAGCCAGTAAAACCTGATATCCTGAGCAGTGAGTGGGCAGCAGCCTGGTCCTCGAGGGCCGTTGCCATGGTGCCACCTCGTATGTGAGAGCCCTTCATGACAGGGTCCTTGTGCTATTTCATGACAGAATGCCTTAGGTGGAATCCAAAGTGGATTCACCTGGCAGTAAATTCTGCTGTACACTAAATATTGTCACGGGGAATGTGGTTTCAGTGGCTGTCTGTGACTCAAAGAGGTTTTACCATTAATCCTCCAAGTGTTGGTATAAAAGTATTCGTGGTAAAGTACTGATAAATTATATGTCATCCTTGAAAATCAGTACGTTGAATACTAGAATGAATTATCATATGATAAAATACGTTGTAGTGGGTATTCCCCTTAAAAATATGTACATGTTTGTACATGAATGTGGGTGTGCACATATGTGTGTGTGTGTGCACGCATTATGCCCATATACATATGTGTTCAAACCCCATTTTCCCTTTTTCTCCAAACAGTCACATTTATAAAGCAGCTTTGAAAAACGAAGCCTCGATCTGGGGGGAGAAAAGAAATCAGTCTTTCTTCTGAAATCCTCAGTGAGATTTTAGGTTCCACATGTGCTCATTATTCTCGAAAGAGTCCATGAATGAGCAGCGTGTGCCACAGCATATACCCTCCTTCTCCTTGGCCGCCGTCGGGCTTTCCTCCCCGCCCCGCTTAACGAGAAGCAGTCGCAGCTGGGGGGAAAGAACTGCACACCAGTGATGAGCAACATGGTTAAGGGCTGTCCGTTTTCCTCCCACAGCCTAGTCATCCAGTGGAGATTCGTGAACAGGGTCCAAAAGCAAATGAACGCCTTCTTGGAGGTAAGTCGTGTTCTCCGGGAGTCTTGCCTGTGCCTTTAGGTTGAAAGAGGACGGTTCTCCTCCTTGGGGGGCAGGGAGGGTATTAGACGCGATCACACCCCCAGAGACAGGCATGGGTGTGGGACCCAGGGCAGGGACGTCAGGCCTGCGCTGCTGACAGCATCTCCAGTCTCCAGGGCAGGAGCGTTGAGCCACTGCGCTGCCACCTTTTCGTCTGTTTTTTTTTTGGTCAGTGTTTTCTGGTTTTGCTGCTCTTATGTTTTAATTTGCCTTAACTGTTTTTAAAGAGAAATCTTTACAGACTTGACCCAGAAGGGCAGGTTCCCCCACAGAGGCTAGAACCATCATCCTGCAGCTTTTGGTGGTCCCCGGGGAAGGCTGGGAGCATCTCTGCCTTTTGCTGCAGTGACGGGTTCTAAGAAATGCGAGGACTCGGGACAGTTTCCAGTCACGCCATCCCTCCGTGATAATGCCTTCCGCCTCATTGGTTGAACTTTTTTTTCTTTTTTTAAATCCCCTGCCCTTTCCTCGTGGCTTCCTGAATGATTCCTCACCTTATTAAAGTGTGAAGTGGTTACGTCTCAGACCCAAGTATTTAATGTCAGTGATACTCCCAGGCCCCTGAGGAGGGAGGCCCCTCGCAGAGAATAGGGGCTTCCTCATTTTAAAAACCGGCTCCCTTTGACCCAAAGCGCAATTCCTTTTTAAATCCTGATAATGGATATTAGTTACTTAAAGCGGACAAGTCCCAGCTGCACATTACAAGAACCGATCGATGCAGGGTTCTCGCTGGGCGATGCTCTCTCAAGTTCACCCCAGTTCAGTTACCTGCTCATGGTGAATATAGCGCCAGCCCAGGCAGAACACTCAAAAAAACTCCAGGACTTAGGGTGAAATGTGTGAGTTAGAGGCGCCGGAGAACAGCAGGGTTCATACTGTATTTACACGAGAAACCTACCCGGCCCTATCCCAGGTGATCACACTTTCAGAAACTGGCCACACGCGAGGCCCAGCGACACGGAGCGTCCGTCCTAGGTCACTGCACTAGTCAGTGGTGCCTAGCCTGGGGACCGGGGCAGGCTGTCTGTGATCCCTGGCTCCTTTCCACCCATCACACCGCCTCCTCTCGTATTTCATCTTTGCCTTATTTTTAAATGGTCCGCTTGCGCGTCTGTGGCCTGTGCCTTTGAGAACACCCTGACTCACAGCAATGTGTCATAAGTGGCTTTTGGAATCCGCCTGCCTTCAGCAACCCATATTTTTATAACACTTCAAAAATTACTCAAGTACCTGGATCTTCTGGAGTCTACTGCTTTTTAAACTTTTATTTTGTGACTCTGCAGTTTTTATCTGAACTAAAATTACTGAATACTGTCATATAAATCATCAGTGAACAGTGTATTTTTCCTGGCTAACCAAAATAAGCTTGTTCATCCTGTAAAATTTGTCTCTTTCGAGGAAAAAGGTGTTGAGAGTGCTTTTCTTTTTTTCTTTCAGGGATTCACGGAACTGCTTCCTATTGATTTGATTAAAATTTTTGATGAAAATGAACTGGAGGTTTGTACTGTAAACATTTTGTGTAAAGGAGATTTTTTTAAAGTATCTCATTACTTCCCAACTTGGTATTTTAGTATTCTCTGATCCATAATGTCCTAGCGAGTAAGCTTAGGTGAATTCTCCTGCGGGTCTCTTAGGGGCTTGCTTGTTTGCCGATCAGGGACCAGGGGATAGCAGAAACAGTCACCTGTAGCTTCCTTGCCCGGGAGAGGGCAGATCAGGGACGCAGCAGACAGGGGGAGGCCCGCTGAGCTGGGTTCACAGCCTGGAGCTGGGGTGGCAGCACCCTGCTCCCAGGGTGGGGCTGGCTGAGGACCCCGGTCCTCCACGCACCCACCGTGGCAGCCGAATGGGGACTCGGCCGGGGGGTGGGCGACCCCGAGGGGCTGTAGAGCAGGGGGCTCCGTGAAATCGAAGTGGAAGACCCTGAACTCCGTGCTGTGGAGTGAAAGCCCAGCAGAGGCAAGAAGGTAGTGGCAGGAGGTGGTTTCATGGTAGCTGGTGCCAGCTTCTTTGTGTCGGTGTGGATGAGAACTTGGAACCTGAAAAACAAAGGAGTCTCTCCGCCTTATGTTGAGAGAAACAGGAGGAGGAAGGCTTTGTCTGCTGAGAGGCTGTTGACAGGACTCCGGCCATTTGTCCAGTGACGTGTCTCCCGTAGACTGGCTTTTGTTCTTTTACCTTAAAATGGAAACGTCCAGATAGACGACGTCACAGACATCACGTAGAGGAAGCCCTTTGTTTGGCAGGTGGGGCGACTGAGGCAGGGAGGGGTTAATGACCTCACAGGGTCTCGTCACAGGCCCATGAACCCGGTTTTCAGGCCTCTGGATTCGTTCTTTTTCCACTGTACGCTGGCGCCTCTGTGGGAGTATCATTCCTTTGTTAGGAGGGTTAGGTGATAAGAAAAGTGGACCCAAGACTGGTGAGTCAGAGCTGCGATTATAGCGCTAGGACAGGTCTGCAGCCGTGGGCCACCAGGCAGGTGAGGTGATTGCCCTCACCTGGTGGATTGGTCCGGGAAGATGAGTTCTTGCTGTCATAAAGCACTAATTCTACTGTGGGTGGGGAGGTTATTTTCAACTGTTGAGACAGATAACCTCTCAGAAGAGGAAACAGCCAGGGTAACGAAAGAGCAGATGTAAATGGAGCGTAAGAAAATCCATGAGCACCGAGCTGCGATTTGAGGGGCGGGGAAGGTGATTGATTGGGACTTCTGATTTCCAGCATGAAACGTGGTGGCCTGTACAAGCTTTAGAGTCGGGTCTCCCTCGTTACCCCTCAGTCTCTGATCTGCAGAGGCAGGTAGGATGTGGAAGACGTATTCCCCTGCATTTGTTTTTATGGGTCGCTGGCTTATCTTGCTTTGCACGTGACGTGATGCCGGCACTGAGAAAAGGCCTTTTCTCCGGTGTATTTCTTCGGCTTTCACGGTGTGCCCTGTTTACCTCTGGGTAAATCTGGTCCATCTCCCTCCCAGTTGCTGATGTGCGGCCTTGGCGACGTGGATGTGAACGACTGGCGACAACATTCTATTTACAAGAACGGCTACTGCCCAAACCACCCCGTGATTCAGTGGTTCTGGAAGGTAAGGCCAGAGTCCGGGTCCTGTGCTGTCTTCCCGTGGTCTTGCTGCTGCATTTGGGGCTGTGTTGGTACCTGGCCTCCTGGGGGAGAGAAGAGGCCCGCCGAGTCAGAAGCAGCCCTCACCGCTGCTTTTCTGTAACTGTGGTGGATGGCTGTCTTGAATAGGCTACACTGTCTTCCTCGACCACCTATTAAAGTGCTTTTGTTTGAGGAAACCACTGAGTAGGACGATCCTGAAAGATAGATAATTGGATTCAAGAATTAGAACTAGTCCTCCAGAGTGGGAATAGGAATGGGAGGCTTCTCAGGGCAAAAGCATGCTTTGGGGCTGACTTTTCCAAGATGCCATGTTGGTTTCAAAAACCATTCTCCCAACTTTTTTTGTTAATTCCAACAAACATTTTGATCTTTACATCTTTCAATCAAAGGTGCAAATGAAATCTGATTTACTCTCTAAAGACCAGTGTTTACATCCTTTTCATTGCAGAAGAGAAGTGAAATAGTAACGAGCGGGTCCAAAGGAGGGCAGTAAACTGACTTTGAAAGAACAATTACAGGGGAAAAAGCGCTGATTATTTACTTACAGAAATAAGAAATCATTGACCTTGTCTTAATTTCTAAATGTCTATTATTAATAATATTTCAAGTGCAGCAGAGAAGCAGAGAGAAAAGGAAGTAAAGCAGAATCTTCAGATCCTAACATCTTAGTCCAAGTTTCACTCAGCCTTGATTTTGGATATATTTTTTTTAATATCAGTTCAAGTAACTTTACCAGTGAAGCCAACTCGATTCTTAGAATCATTCAGATATGTAAGATACACAGATTATTTCAGAAGCCTAGCCTGGCCTCTGTTTTTCTTTCTTTTTCTAAAATGTTGTCTTTAGAGAATTTAGCTACAGTCAAATATCCTGCCTCGTAACCTGGGTTCCCCCTCTCAAACTGTGTGTATTTCTAACTGGCTCAGGGGGACCGTCAGGCCTCACATACAGAAACATGAGCCTGGTGCCATCAACAAGTGTGCTTTTTTTTTTTTTTTTAGTTGACTTTTGGCGGTGTTGAGTCTTCCTTGCTGTGCGCGGGCTTTTCTCTAGCTGCGGCGAGTGGGGGCTCCTCTTCGTTGCGGTGCGCGGGCCTCTCATTGCAGTAGCTTCTCGTTGCGGAGCACAGGCTCTAGGCGCACGGGCTTCAGTAGTTGTGGCACGCGGGCTTCAGTTGTGGTTCGCGGGCTCTCTAAAGCACAGGCTCAGTAGTTGTGACACATGGGCTTAGTTGCTCCGCGGCATGTGGGATCTTCCTGGACCAGGGATTGAACCCGTGTCCCCTGCATTATTAGCAGGCAGATTCTTAACCACTGCGCCACCAGGGAAGTCCCAAGTGTGCTTTTTTTTACCACTTATTTTGACCAGTTGGCAGAAGAAGAACAAGACATTGTGATGACTCAGTCTGAGGTTGCAGAGGCTGGTATTGTGATGTCCATAAAAAAAAAAAAAAAAGTTTGCAGAGTCAACTGTCTAGGTCTCCCACTGCACTATAAATAAGATGACGTTTTGCCCATCTGCACTGCAGCAGACGTGCCTCGTGTTACATGAGCGTAATGACCTTCTGCCTCCGTTCATAGGCTGTGCTGCTGATGGATGCTGAAAAGCGTATCCGGTTACTCCAGTTTGTCACAGGGACGTCCCGAGTCCCTATGAATGGATTTGCCGAACTTTACGGTGAGCAGGGTACCATTAGACTTCGTCCTCCCACCGTGAGTAGACATCAGCTGTGGCCCCAGAAGACTCTGCCTCCCGGGCTTCTAGCCATGTGGGTTTCGCCTGGACCCAACAGACATACGTCACGGAAAGAGATGGGGCAGCGTGCCATCACCTCAGCTGTCTGTGCAGTTACCTGTATATAAAAGCAGGGGGTTGTTTTTGTTTTTATACAGTGAGCCATAAGATTGGTCTCTTTTTTCTTTCTCTTTTGTTTTCTGGTATATATTCAAAAAACAACTAGATTTTGCAGAATCAGCCATGTGGTTGTAAACTGAGCATTGAAAGCACTCCTCCCCTCCACGAGGCAGAATTCTTCAGGGCTTACTATAGATGAAAAAGTCACTCTCTGCTCGACATATTAAAGGTCATCACGGTTCAGTTTTTCCCCCGGAAGTAGTTTTAAATTTAAACTTCCAGGGTTGGGTTGAAAGGCTTTGGTTGTCTGCACATCCTTACGTTATTGTGTCGGCTCTGTTCAGCTTGGTGCGATTCTATTCTGATGGCGACACGGAGTCTGTGTCCTGAGGTCGTGCAGACCCTTTGCGACCCCCCCCCCCCCCCCCCCCCGTTGTTAAGTACTGACTGTGACGTCCCAGCCACAGAGGGTGTCCCAAGGCTCACCCCCCAGGCCCGCCCTGCCCACCCCTCCCTTTCCTTCAGCCCCTCCTTCGTCTTGTTCTACTGCCTTGAGCACTCTTAGCATTTCTTTTTCTTCCTTTTTCTTTTGTCTAGGTTCCAATGGTCCTCAGCTGTTTACAATAGAGCAATGGGGAAGTCCTGAAAAACTGCCCAGAGCTCACACATGGTGAGTGACGGAAAACCACACAGTTGTTGACAGACAGTATTTTAAAACACTTAGCTGTGTATGATGCTGGGCTACAGGCTAGAGCGCTACTTTCCCTGACCATTCGGCGTTTAGCGTATGAACTGTCAGTGATACAGGTGAAAATACAGATCGTACAGGGATGCTGGATTTGAATGGGCCCGGTTTTTTTGATATGTGAAGGGTTAAATCCCCGTTCCTGCTTCCTGAGGGGAGTTCCTCCTCCAAACCCCGTCTTTCCCTAATTATTCTGGGAAGCAGAGAGTTCACTATATATTCTCCCTATGTGGATACGACCGCTCCCAACCTCTGAACAGATTGAGTTTTTACCCCAACCTTAAATGGTTTAGAACCATGGATGAAATTCCCTTTGGCAACAGTTTTTAAAAGGCCTCCCATGGCCATCCAGAACCCATAAGTCTGAGATTTAGCAGCGTGCGTGTGGCCAGAGGAGTGTCGGAGGTCCGACCAAGGACCCCTGCTCGGGGAGGCACGTGCGGGGCGCGGCTGCGCTCCGAAGGCCTCCGGGTGCAGGGAGGGAAGGAGGCCTTCCTGGAGGGAAACCCCAGGAGTTTCGTGAAACCCAGCACAGAGATGACCTCAGGAGCTCTCCGGGAGCTCCTGTCACTCGGGCTCCCGTGTCCCCGGGGTTGGTCACCCCACAGGATTTGATTTCTTGCTCTTAGGAAGCAGGTGGAGGGGGAGCCCTGTGGCTGGTCAGCACCCAGCATCCTCCTTTCCCGCGGACACTGGGGCTGCCGGGGCCGCTGGGCCGTCCTGTGCTGCCCAGCACAGCTAGGAGAGAGGCCTCATCAAGGTGCGTCTGTGGAAAATGGGCTGTGAAAGGCCTTTTGCTTCTCTTTGACTCCCTCGTCTCGCCGGAAAGCACGTTTTTCCCCATTTCTGCCATTCGTAGGACTCTTGAGTGGAACGGATGCGGTCCCTGCCCTTTGGCACCGGGAGAGCGGGCTGGTTCTCGCTACAACTGGCCGATCGCCAGAGCAGGCAGTGTCCCTTGATCCTCTGCCTTTATTCTTGGGGGGTAGAATGTTTTGGCCGTGGAGCTTTTGTTCCAAACGATAATCAGTCAGGTGTAGCTTTCCGGGCTCAGTAGCCTTCATTTGAAAGGCAGCCAGCACTGAACCGAGCCCCAGCACTGGCGGGATGGGGGGCAGCGCTCCCGAACTCAGCTGGAGGCACAGCTGCCTCACTGGGCGCGGCTGTCCTGCGTGGGTCAGACCCTCAACCTTGCTGGCAGCCTGAAGTACACTGTTAGCGTTCCTGTGGGCTGTTGGGAAGCTTCCTCGTGATCCCGTAGCGCACAGGCTCCCAGATCCTGTGATTTGAACTCGGGTCTGCCAGGATTCCAATCCCCTGACCACTTCAGTTAAGCTACTGCCTCTGTGATACGGTTCACTTTCTTTCCAGACTCTTCAAAGAGAGCCGAGTAATTGAGTGTTCATCCCATGACCCTCTGTGGCCCTATAGACAGATATCTTGCTGTTGGATTCTTCTTCTATTTCGGAGTTCACGTGCTGAGCCACCACTAAAATACGGGGCTGCCCAGATAAGACCCTGAACTCAGCGGTTCTCAACCTTGGTTACACGTTGGAACCACCTAGAAAGCATTAAAAAAAAAATACTGGTGCCGGGGTGGGTCCCACTTCCAGAGATTTTGACCTAGTTGGCCTGGTGTGTGATCTGGGCCGTGGGGTTTTCAGAGCTGCCCAGGCGGTTGGTGAGGAGAGCTAGGGTGTAGAATCATTGCTCTTCCTTAGGCAGCACAGAGGTCTACACACAGGGGGAAAGCAACCCCGCCAGCTCTTACCAAAGCCTGGCTTCTTCTCTGTGTGTCACAGGATTAAAGCATTCAAGGAGTTTTTCCTTCAATGACGCTCTCCCCAGACCAAGAGGAGAGCGCTAGCTCTACTGAAGCCACACTGGCTGGTGGGGTGGGACTTACTTACTCTGTTTTCTCTGCTGTGGCTTCCCTTCCATCCAGCCCCGCCTCCCGCTGTAACGTAGGAAACAGGCGCTTTGCTGGCTGCTTCACAGCGACAGCCGTATATGTGGCGAAATAAAACCTAGCCACACGTATGTTTAATCTCTTCCATGTTTTATGAAAATATAAAATACACAATTAAACTTCAAAATTAAAACCTGATTTACTAGGAGAGCAAGGGCTGGTGGAGCTGCTTCTCTCTGAGCTTTCATGAAACTCTCAGATGTAACTGCTGAGTGTCTCAACATTAAAGGGCTTCATTCCTCTGTTCTATCAAAGGTCACTGCTGGGATATCTAAAATTCCGCTTTACTAAGAATCACAGACCCACCTAAAAATAATCTCCTTTGGCCCACACGACGAGGCTGAAGCCACTGAGGTTAATGAGGTCACACAGCTAGTTGGTGGCAGGCCAGCCCTGTCTCCTGACGTCAGAAGTAACGGGAACACTTGTTAAGCACTACTGTGTTCCAGGCATCGTCCTAAGCCCTTCATGTATATTAACCCGTATCGTCGTCACGACGACTCTAAAAGGTGGGTCATATTACTGCCCTCTCCTTACAGATGGAGAAACTGAGGCACAGAGCGCTAACATAATTCCAAACCTCAGCTCTTAACATTCCCCTGTTTGCCTCTCTCTCTCTCTCTCTCCATTACTCCAGTATTTCTCAAACTTGAATAATGTATGGACCTTTTTTAAAGGGAAAAAATGGCCACAGATCCTTGAAACCCCACAGGGATTGCAGGCCCTGGACTGTGAAATACCAACTTGAAATCAAGACGACAGCCACCTCTTCTCTTAAGTATACCCTGCAGAAGTGGAATTCTGTCTCTATCACTGGTGAAATTGATGTTTGAAATCATTATCATGATGAAAACCAAAAATTGAAAACTTCTTTCAGACTTGCGCCTTCAGGATTCCTGGGTTTCTGAGGCTCTGGTTTGAGAGGCACAGTGTCCTGCTCTGCTGTGTCTTTTGATGTTTGATGACTGACTGACTGTTAAAAAAAAAAAATCTCAGAGCTCAGCGTGTCTTATTAAATACTTTAGGGGTTGTTAAAGGGCCCACCATGGACATGTGTCTGTTTCTTATTGCTGCTGATAATCATTAGCTTTTAAAACATAAGAAGTTGTTCTGCTCGTGCCTGGAAACCTATGTCGGTGCCAGGAGCGAGCACTTTTAAATGCTGAGGCAGCAGAAGCAGATCTGGGCTTTGGAGCCAGCCTGGGGCTGAATCCTGGCTCTACCACTTACTGTGTGTGACCTTGGGCAAGTTACCCAACCTCTCTGTGCCTCGAATTCCTTCTCTATAAATAGGGATGAGGCAGTACCTACCTTACAGGCTGGTTGCTGGGATTCGCTGAGGTGATAGATGAAAAGTCCTTAATGGTTCTAGCACGGGGCAAATGCTCTACAAATGTTAGCTCTTACTAAAGCATCATGAACGAAGGCACGTGTGTACGTGTGTGTGTGCGTGTGGCTAGCGTCATGACAGGTGCCCGCCAGCAGCCCACCTGCACGGGCACCAGTTCTGTGTCTGGGGCTCTAGCTCCTCGTGCCCGGGGGGGCCGGCGGTGAATGGTGTGTGAGTGATGGCAATGGCCGCTGGCTCTGGGGCTTGCTGTGTGCCAGACCCCCCTCCCAGCACTCTGCAGCAGGTCTCCCCATTTCACAGAAGAGCAGACAGATTTAGGGACGGAGGCGACTTGTCTGAGGTCACACAGCTGGCCGGTGGCAGAGACAGACTTTGAACTCAGTCCCGTGGACAAGTGCAGTCCTTTGCTCACAGAGGTCACATGTATGTATGGAGACCTCACTGTCACCGAGGTGACTTGTAACACCCCTGCCAAAGCCTCAAGGTATGTAGGGGCTTCTTATAAGTGAGGCTTTTCACTCCACGTGTTGATGACTTGCCTGACTTTGGTTAGAGGGTAGCTCAGCGTTGGGGTCCCAGAGCTGCAGGCAGCCTGGGTTCTGGTCTCGCATCTGCGGTGCTGTCAGGGGTGAGACCTGGGGCATACTGACCCACCGCTGGGCTCCGGGACCCACATCTGCAGGATTGAGAAAACGTAACGTGCCTCACAGGGCTGCGCTAAAAACAAAGCGATATGCTACATGGAGAAGCGCTGGGGCTTCCTAAAATAGTGTTGAATGAAGGAGAGCGTTAAAAACAGATGCAGCCTCGGTTCATCCTGCTGCGGAAGTTCTTTGTGTTTCAAGGGTTTTGACATCTCTGTGTGTATGTCAGTTACGTTGCCTGTCTTGTCTCCCTTCCCGGCAGGGTTTTCCAGGATCCACGTTTGGTCCCAGTAGAGAGGGTTCATGGACGATCAGAAAATTCCTTTCTCTTCCCCCGTAGGTTACTATAGCATGTTTGGTGTGGGCAGTGTCATCGCTGGAATTTACTTTTCGATAATCAGAAATATCTTTGCGAGTTGAGACTTTGACATCCTCTTGCTGGAACACCAAGTGCCCCCTTAGCCAGATCTAGGAAGTGCTGCGGTAACTAAAGGGCAGTGATGATGGCTTTTTACCTACGCTTCCTTGTTAACTTTTGCAGCTTTAATCGCCTTGACTTACCTCCATATGAAACCTTTGAAGATTTACGAGAGAAGCTTCTCATGGCTGTGGAAAATGCCCAAGGATTCGAGGGGGTGGATTAAGTGCCCCCTGCCTCGGGAGGGTTGTTCTTCACGCAAGTCCTGCTTGCACTTTTGCATTCGCCTAACAGACTCTGCAGAGATGCTGGCAGAGAGCAGCGCACGGCGCGGACTCCTGGAGCAGAGCCTTCGCCCGCGACTTGCCCACGCGCCAACATGGGAACCCAGTCCCAGGTCGCGTTCCTGCATTTTCCACCACAAATTACCAACTGGTTGATGTGTATACTAATTACATTTTAGGAGGACTTATTCTATTTATGTTGTGCCTCTGTAGGCCAAGCCCTTAATAAATATTTTACATACTTTATAATGACAGCGAATGGAATTAATCACTCTACAGGTATAGTATTACAACTCATGTTTACTTTTTAAAATGATTTAGACCGATTTGCAGATTTTATTTCACTACAATTAAAGATGTCTCATGTACTTGGAAAAGTGAGCATATTATTTTTTTGTATTTGAATTTCACGCCAGGTTTAATGTCAGTGACATTTTTAAAGTTCTTGGACAGCCCCACGCCCTACCTGATTAGCATTGGAAGAATGACTTTTGTCCAAAAGCCTTCTACAGACAAATACTTGGAGAGAATTTAAACCGTAACATTAGGCATCGTGACGATTTTTTCCATGCTCAGAATGAAAACAAACTGGATAATTACGTTTTTTGTACAAATTTAGCATAATAGCTGCAGGCTGAGAGAACTGTAACATAGCATGACAAACTTTGTGTTGACTTGAAGGAATCACACCATTATTCCTTAGAGGTAATTACGTGTGCTAGAGCACACTTGAGGCAGGGTTGGACTATCGTTTCTCGTAAGAGAAGTTATTTACTTAACCCTTCCTGCTGCTGTACAGTCGTCCTTCTGTCATGTCTTCCTCTTTGCTGTTCTCAGTAGAGACACTCGAACGAAACTTGGCACTGCGCGATTTGGAGCTGTGGGAACCAGGCCTGTGCAGTCTCCTGTTTGTACACGTTTGCTGACGGTAGCTAAATAACCAGCTTTTGTTCTAACCGCGCCAATTCTGAAGGCACTTTATGTACGACATGGAGGTCACATCTGGTTCCTGGGGGGGTTTTGTCATGAGCATTGACTGGGATGCTGATTTCTTCCCTCTGCACACACCTTTCCGGTGCAACAGCTATCAACTGTGAAGCTGGCTGCTGGTGTATAAAAGCCTGGCTGTAAAGCTCGGCCTACAGACCTGCCCTCACCAATCGTCTTGTGATTTCTGTGCCACTGCAAAGATTCATAGACAGTTCATCTAACCGGGTTTTGTTCCCAGTGACATGTTGCATGCTTCCATACCGTGTACTGCCCAAGTTGTGTCCGTTGTGTGCTGGATTAGAAGTGCGAGAGAAGGCTTGATCTGATCCCCTGACGTCCGGCTCTTCAGCTGGTCCTGGCGGGGATGGAGGGTTCTGTGGGATTCGATTCCTGGCCGCTTGTGAGTCCTTGTTGCAGAATTCTGTCATGTTTTGAGAGAACGCCTGAGGCAGGGTGGGAGCCCAGCAATCCTGCTGTCCTTCTTAACCTGTGTTGTCCTAGACCCGTGGTGGCAGTCAGGGGACACTAGCCGTCTCACCTCTTGCCAGTCGTAGATAAGACAATAAAATCGTGGTTTCAGGGCCTCCATTTAGGATCTTTTGGCGTTACAAACTCAATTTACCCCGGCTCTGGGTGGCTCGTGGGAAGCCACGAATGTTTGTGCTTGTCAGGGAGTTTTCTGAAGCGGCGCAGAGGCCTGCGTGTCTAAAAGAAGGTGGATTTCTACAGAGCTGAGGATTGTTCCCTTTCCGTATTGATTTTTAAAATCCAGTAGTGATCAGAAAACCTAGATGTTGAGTAATTAGAAAAAACGATATTGTTCATTACTTTTACCTACTGGTGGGATTCTTTTCCCATCACTCAATGTAACAGATGTCTCAGTGGCAAACCTCCCCCTTCTTGTAGCCCCTCAAGTCCAGACTCGGCTTTCTTTTTATGACTTATGCCAAAGCCTGGGAGAGCAGTATGCTTGGATGGGTTCTGAGAATGAGCGTGTGATTTACAGGGGGAGAAATCCAACGATTCTTGTCTAAGAACTGGGATTCTTCTGTCTTTTTGTAAACTGTATATTCCAAAAAATCAGAATATTCACTAAATGCAAATTAGGCAAAGTATTGAAAATAAGAAAGAAAACCCGTCCTAAGATAATTTCTGTGCCAAGAACAGATAAGAATTACCGAAATAGACCCCCATGAATACTTGAAAGGCAGTAACTGTGAATGACAATCCAGCTCATCTAGCCCTTAATATCTCATTTCAGTGACAGCTCAAAAGTGCCGGGTCTAGAGTTCGTTTGGGGGTTTTGGTTTTCTTTTTTTTTTTTTAATCCAAATAACGTTCCCTGGCTCTCATCAATTCTCAGCGTTTCACTCTTTGTCTAAAACAGTCACCCATCTTGTTTTCTCTCAATCCTGATGACCACTCTCCATCACCTTCGCGACGTAACCACAGAAGGCAGTAAGGAAAATGCACTGCATGGGGGCAGGCTGCCGGGCGGTCCCTTGGGCCTCTGCCTGCTCCGGTCAGCGGGCCTGGGGGACGACGGCAGGACGGCGGTGTCACCTCATCTAGTCCTTAGCAGCGACGCTACTCCGCAGTCCAGGGTCTCTTAGAGCTTCTGCTTTCTTAGAAGTTACCTGAATCTAGCTTCTTCAGTTCGCTGAAACAGAGCCGTCATGGGCCATTTTGCCTTGAGGTTAAGAAGTGCGTGCCAGGGTTTACATACATATCGCATGTTAAACATTGGTTATCACAGCCACCTGTAAAGTCCTGGGTATTTCTATTTCTGACTCTTGTCAGCCTAAAGATGAATTTGGAAAGTCCACCCAGTGGGCTTAGCTTCAGAGAGTGTGCTGCTTTTCTACCTGCTGCCTCTGGAACAGGAAACAGCGAGGCATTCGTCTCAGTGCTCTTTCTTTTTTCCTGAAATACTTGCCATTATTTCCCAAAGGCCCATTGGTAGCTAACGTCAGATACTCCCTAAGGTCAGATGACAGATGCTCAAAGCAACCTGACATGGATTATTCCTCCCACATAAGGATGCAGTGACAGATTCTGAGAGAAATGGTTTGCAAAATGTTGGAACCACTTTCTACATCTCACATTGTTAAACAGAACAGTTAGATTTGCTGCATATGAACTTGCTCTTCAAGAGAACCAGTTTGGAACTGGCAAGACCACACAGCAGTGGTACATGTTGTCTAACAGTTACTAATTGTTCCACACGTGACTCACGTATTTCCCTAGCTCTTGTATCTCACCTCTGAAATTACAGACTCTATGAAGAGAGCCTGGGTTGATCAATTCTCAAGCCCCTACCCAGGCCCTGTGCTAGCGCTTCTTTGTTTGCTCTTTCCTCCTCACCCTGACTCTGCACCCCTGTACTGACTCTGGTGTCATTTTCTGCCTTGCCAGTAGGGGGCACTGCTGTGCAGGGTAATTGCCTGGCCTGCTCCCTTCCTGACCCCCCAGGAGGTCCTGCACTACCTCCGTCTTATTCAGACTTCAGGGTACATCTTGATAAGTCAAAACTGCCAATTTTAGGGCTGAGATGTGTTTTTTTAAAAATCCTTATAGACTCCACTTTGTACTTTAGATTTTGAAACTGGGAAGAAAATGTGACATACTTTGGACCACTTTTTTTAATTTATCGAAGCCTTAATGAACAGTGTATATACATTTGCATACACACACACCCCGACCCAAAAGTGTTTTCAGTGCGTCGGAGACAAAGCTGTAGCATTAGGACGTGAGCTGGTATGTTTCATAGAAAAGGAGAGCTTTCTGTTGGTATGGAATTTTCCAAGAAAATCTCTCATTAGACCGCTCCCCTTCGTCAAAGGTGTTAGGTGCAGAGCAACGCATGTTTAAGATGCATGTCTTTGTGTTGGTTGGTTTTGTGTTTGTATGAGTAATGATAGAATATAACAACATTGGCGACAGACCTCTGTGTACTACCTTCTCAACCTGTATCAGTGCATTGTAAGCCTTCTCATGACCATGACCCTGTGTCCACACATCTGTGCTCCTACATAAACCAGTCTGCCCCTCTTTCTCAGACTAATTTCACCTAGATTGTCACGGTTTCCTTCATGTTAACTTTGCATATCTTTGTGCTTCCTTCACTACTATGTATGTAATATATATACGTACATATGCTGTCCAAATATATCTTTACATATTTGTATAGCATTTTTACACCTACCTTGAGGAATCTGGTTTCGAAAGGGAGTGAGAGTTTAGTCCCTTCTACAGTTTTCTCCAAGCTGTGTCTTGAGAATTCTGACCCTCAGAGCCTGAGAGCACCCCAGGAAGATGATATAATATGCCGTCATCTCTTAACTCAGCACCTATTATCAAAGGAAACATGAAAAAACAGTGACTTTTAAGGTGAAAAACAGTTTCAAGCATTCCAAATGAATTCTCAATGTTTCATAACTTTTTATTATAAACACACCTCCTAAATAAAGCCAAGTACCATTTGATACAGTGATTAAAAACCAAACAACTTGGAAATTTTTTAACAGACAACGTATGGATAAATGCTCATTTTCACAATCAGAATAGCTGTAAAATACGGTTGAATTTGATACCGACAGAAAACGTTTAGTTGAAGGACAAATCCTTTTTGCTTTTCGTTTTTCTTGGGAGATCTAAAGAGAAATTGTGGATTGTTTTCCTGACAGCAAAAGAGTAATGTGACAAAATGAAGTCGTTGTAAAGAAGTGATGCAACTTGTCAAATATTTAATAAAGAATTATGGAAGCTGGAACTTTTTCTACATCAAGTATTACGGGTTGTCTGATTTAAAGCTTCTTTGTGAGCGCATCGCCTTGATTGTCTCGGGGAGGTTATTTAAATGCCTGCAGATTTATAGACAGTATATTCACTTCCTTAATCTCCCTAGAAGTTCCACATCTTTAAAAACATCATTAAAGGCTGCCCAGAACACATGGCTTGAGCTTAATGGGATGCACCTCTATTCTTAGCCATCTGTCTTTTTATTAAATTTGAGAATTAATGACTTGATGGATTACCCAAGTGGTAATATAAAGTCCATTCCTGGAAAGGCATATTCCACCTCTAGTTTTCATCTGACTAACCCTCAATTTATGTCAGTTAAAGAGACTCAGTAATGAAGCTCAAGGTGGTTCTCAGAAGGGAGATGCTATCAAAATCCAGATCTCATGTCAATTCCCTGATAAAACACGTAGACTCCTCAAAATTTTTTCCCTTTTTCTCTGGTGCCTAAGCCTCCTCTCTATGGCCTTAACTTGCCCCCTCTGGGACTGCCAGGAGGTAACATCCAAATCAGGACATAATTGCACCCTGGTATCTTGCTACTTGTCTCTTTCAGTCAGCAGTAGATGGTATCTTGCTGGAAAGGTATCGACAGCCTTCTGAGTTCCTGCGGCTTCCCCCAGCCTTACAGGAACAGACAAGGAAGGTACCGGCAGATAGAGCCACTCTGAACTTTGTATATGCTCACAGAGAAAAACATAAATGATGAGATACATGAAATAGGAATAAATCATCATACATCAGTTACACAGTTGCTAAGTTAGTAAGCTCTTAACCTGCTCTGAAGTCCAAGAGTGATCCAGGCACTTCTGAAACTCTAACGTCCCTGGTAAAAGTTGGTGGTGAGCATGGGTATCCAGGGATTCTCATCGCTGTGGTTGGCTCTGGGGAGCCACGTTCAAAGGGGTCCCTGGACATAAGAGGGCAGATGCCACTTTCCCGTCCCTTTGGTGCGCCCTCATCTGGGAGACAACACTTCTCAAAACTGAGTTTCCAGAGGACTCGGGCTGTTGGATGTCTAAGCAAGTTTTTATAGGACTTAAATTGGACAGGAAAACAAAATGATGGTGACTTTTATTAAGTCCCAATACGGACCCCTTCGTACGGACCTGGCCCCGGCTCAGGACACCCACTGGTGGGGACTGAGAAGGGGAGAACCAAGATTCCCTTTGTAGGGCTGACCTCCGGCCCAGCCTGAGGAAAAGGTGAGTCCAGTCAGCCTGTCACCTTCCTGCTCAGCCCCTTTGTAGCACCCCAGCTCCTCCCCAGCCAGCGTCCCCAGGCTGTGCCTCCTTCTTTCCCTAGCAGCAAGTCACAGGTAACACAGGATGAACTCAATGGAAAGCAGTGGAGCGGCCGCCCCCTGCCCCTGGGCAAAGCGGCATCTCCCCTCAGCTGGGCCTTGGGGTGCCCTCAGCACCCGGTGCCTCAGGGAGGAGGTCGGAGGCCGAAGCCGCCCGTGCATTAGCCCAGCCCAGGCCCCCTCGCTCGTGGCTCCTGTGTGTCTGCCTGCTGGACTTGCCAGTATCTTGAATCTAACTTAATCCCGTCCTTGCCCGGGTGTCCAGCCAACTTGCCGCTTCAGGTGCTCCCGTAACACATGGATGGGGCACCGTCACCTGCATTTCTGCAGCCTCGGGGCATCGCTCACCATAGGAACAGGGCACAGGGCCGCAGAGACGGGGGCTCGGGGCCTTGATGGTGGGAGGGGAGAACACACGTTTCCTCCCAAAGCCCTCTGCTCGCCTCTCCTCACCCTAATTCCTGGGGAGAGCCTTTTTTTCTCTCTGCGGAAGAAGTTTGCTCGCAGACAAGTTAGCTTGGGGGTCGTGTAAGGGCCTTGCAGCAAGGAAAGCTCCCGCCTGAGCACTGAAGATGAGTGAGTGACAGCGGAGAGGCGCATCCCACTGTGATGAAAGGGAAGTGATACATTTGGGCAATTTCTAAGCAATACCATACCGTGGGGGTTTTACATACAGTTCCCAGAGCTAAGAAGTTACGAGTTTTCAATCCTTCGTGGCCTTGTTCGGACTGAATAGCAAGACCAGCTAAAAGCAGATAACTATTCTGCACTGTTATGTGCCCGGTGCTCATCAAGCTTCAATCACACGATTGCGGAAATGTTTGACTCAGAAGGGCCTTGGCCGTGTGGGTCCCGGCTTCTTGCCTACCTGCCCAGGTATCACTCCCTACCTGCCCAGTGCTGTTAGCTTGGAGGACCAGGGTTGGTCCTCACTTGTTGCCCTCGGGAGAAGCCAGGGCAGCCCCGCAGAGACGGGGGGATGATGGCCGTGGGTGATCTGCATCCTGGAAACTGCAGGCCCCCAGGGAGGGGGCGATTAGCTTCTCAACGGTGCCCCTGTGGGTCCCTGGGGGCTAGTGTGACCTCTCACCCTGTCCCTTCCCTCCAGCGGCTTGTCTGCAGCAGAAGGGCTGCTCGTCACTGAGCCCAGGGCAGAAATGAGGGCAGTAGGGGTGCTAGATGCCCAGCTGGGGACAGGCAGCCACCAGGGTCAGGGTCAGGGTCAGACCCATCAGTATCCCACTTCAGGCAGAAAACCTAGGTTTTCAGGGGAACCCTGGAAACACATCAAGCTGGTCTCATTCCCTAAACCCCTCGGGGGGAGCAGAGTGCAGGAGGCCCCATGGGAGGGAAGGGCCCGAGCACAGAGGGGTGCTTGGTGAACTCCAGGCAGCCTCTCGCTTCCAAGCCGACTCGACACCAGAATGATTTTTAAAAGCTTCAATCAACCTCAAGTGACATCATCCGAGACGGGAATAAATCTTGGTAGACAAGCGCAGGAAATTTTGTCTCCTCCCACTGCTCCCTCTGGATTTCCCCACGTCTTCCTCAAAACACAGGAGAAGCCCTTGAGCAGAGTAAGGGCCCCGACATGCTGAGCGCAGAAGCTCTTTGTGGAAACCGGAGCTCCGCCCACCCGAGGACATGTCCACTGTCTGCACAGTAAACTCTAAGAGTTGGAGGTGCAGGAGTCTCTCTTCCCACCTTCCGCACCCCCCAGGCAGAGCCCCACCCCCACCCCCGCCTCGCCTAGTCACGTGGCCACACCTAACCGCAAGGCAGGCTGGGAGATATCCAGCAGCGCCCCGAGGACAGGGCAAGGAGTTTGGGAACAAGCAGCCTTCGGCATCGATCTGCAGAATGAATTTCCCCTTGGAATAGTGGCCTTGCCGACATCTGCCGAGCCTCTGGAGTCTTCAATTTACTCTCTTAGGTTAATAGTACTACTACTTCCTGTAAATCTCCACATCAGTCTAATACGATAGATATTATCACCCTCAACTTACGAGGAAACAGACCGGGAGAGCAAAGAGTCTTACAGAAGAGAGATCTGAACCGGGGTTGTCTGACTCAAAGCCTCCATGCAGCCGCTCACCCTGGCCCATCCTCCATCCTCTCCACCAAACCTCGTCTCGGAGAGAAGAGCCCAGACACCCATTTACACTAAGATGTACATGACCGATCAGACGACATGCATGACCCCTTCTAGAAGTATTCAAACTCCAGAGTTGAAGCTTGGCTTCAACCAACAGGAATAAAGATGGAAATTATGGCATCTATGTATCAACAAACTGAGTGGAGGAGGGCTTTTGAGGGCAAAGGCCCTGTTTCAAGCCACAAAATCCAGTGTGCATAAGGGACACCCATCTGAAAAGACAGGTCTGTTCCAAGAAAAACCCCAGCCCCTCACGGGGAACCGCTGTGCCTCTCTGGCCACTGCCCCAGGACAGAACTCTCCACCGTCAAAAGCAAGGGCCCCGTATTTTCCAGATCCCAGGGCAACACGAGCATCCCTTAGTCGAACAGAGTTGAAGGGCCATAGGGCTGGATTCTCTACTCTCAGGAACTATTTGATGGAGCGCCAGGATGTACATTTTCTAAAGAGTTTCTGTTTGATAAAGGATTTTAGATTTTAACTTATACTTAATATTATTTGTGGTGGAAAGTTTAGATTTGGGATTTGTCTTTTGAATTCCAGTTATTCAGCTCTTACAAATTTGAAGAGGCCCTCTGCCAGTGCGGTCTTCTCCTCTCTGACCCCCAGCCTCACCCCGCTCTGGTCCACCCCGTCTGGCCTTCTGCACAGCCTATATTTACTCAGAAGATCCTTGCTTGTTCATCAGTTGAGGTTATCAGGGGACATGCCCTCCCCATCCTAATGAGTGTTTAAACAAAAGTCAGGCCTTTGAACCCCTGGACTCCAGTTAAAAAGTAACAGGCTTGGGATTGGATCAATAGGAAACAAATATTAGCTATGGAGGCCAGAGAGCCACAGCATTGGGAAATAACCATTGCTGGTGACACGGAGCGAGCAATGGTCATACCTGTCTTGGAGGTCCGGGAACCCTGTGGACCCCGGTGACCTTGGGCCAGTCATTTTCTTGCTCTACAAGTTAAACATGGAAGCCACAAACCCCTAAGTTCGCTTGCAGGCAACTCCTTAGGTCTGAACGGCTGCCGTATCATCCTAAAGCTTGTGTCCACTTTCTTTCCCTTCCCCAGTCATCCTACACTCTGGTTAGCCTGCCTCCAGAACAGGTCTGGTCACACCACTGGGCAGTTCACTGTGTCCACAACTTGCCCTTGAGCTCCTACCTGGTGCTCAAGGCCATCCAGGGCATTTGGGCAACAGGAGAGCAGACCTCTAGGTGGTCACACCTAACACCACTTTCCCAGGCTTCATCCTGCCCCCCAGTGTGCACTGTTCAGTATCATCAACTATTTCTTCTTCCTTGAAATTCTATCTCGGCTTCCATGACATTTCAGTCTCCTGGTTATTCTCTCTCTCTTGAACTACTCGCCTAAAGTAGGTGTTCCCCAATAATTTGTTCTTGGTGTCCCCTTTCTCTCTCTCTCTCTCTCCCCCCACCTCCCCTTGTGGCTTAAAGCCATCACCGCCATGTAAGCAATGACCGAATCTACATCTACTCCCCATCTCTCCCAGAGCCCTCAACCCTCATATC